GTAAGGCGTATATTGTAGTTCAAACAACAAAGGATACCTACGGTGCCAGAAAATCTTCATCGTCACCTATTCCAAAGCGATGTTCCCTCGACATCCAGTGATGTGCAAATTCCTATCCTACTGCCTCAACTAAGATCCCCTTCCCTACAAGAACACTTTAGGTTTGTTTTGCCGAATGCACTTAGTATTTATATTTTTTGTGGAATGCCATTTTTATTAATCAGATATTCATCAGATGGCTTAGTGTTATCGCCCATTTCCTCTTACTGTTAAGGCTAGATTAAGCCGGGTTGTTCTGGGGTATATCTCTCCATGGTGGGATTGATTCATTGAATTACTTCCGCTCATCTTTTCTTTTTACAGGATCATCGCTGAAGAACTTACGCATGTATACAGGGAACACTTGGAACTAGCATCTTCATTTCCAACTACTTTTCCCAAGCCTTCTCAATGGAAATGTGATGTGGGATGGACGAGATACGACCACGGAGGAGTTGTTGAACAAGTGAGCATTCAGTTACCTAGAGAAAGTAGGCTAGACGTGCATGCTTGAGTTTAGGTGGACTGGCCATTGGAGGATGTTTTCTTCTTCGATGTCGAGACCTGTGTTTTGGACGGTCAACTGCCAACACTAGCTGTTGCACTATCTGCAAAAGCTTGGTAAATTGTCCATTGTATATTTACATCTAATTTCTCATTTTGTAATTCTTACATTTGTTAGTTATTCATTTGACTTCTAATTTCTACAACTCAGGTACTGTTGGTGCAGTGAGCGCCTTGTACATCTCACTCCTGTTCCGCTGCTACCTCGGCTCAGGCATTTGATTCCTCTGGGAGGTTGTTCATTTTGAGTTGTTGTTATTGGCTTGTGGAGGGAACAAGCGAGACAACCAGCATAAATCTCTTGAAATTAAGGTGCTGAAAAGCCTCGTGTTGCTATTGGTCACAATGTTGGATACGATCGAGCACGAGCCAGAGAGCCTTATGAAAGAAAGGTCAGGTTTTTCTTACACTGTTTCTAAATGGTAGCTGTCATTTGGCCGCAGATGCTAAGGGGATATAATGCGTATGTAGCGAGCTTAACCCAGAACTCTCTAGATTTCAGTTTTCCCGAGCTTTTCATACAATTACTACAACCAAAACGAATCAGAGCGTTCACTATAAAATCAGAAAAGTGAAGTAACTCAAATGTGGCTCGGGGGATTCAATAATTCACACCGATTTTGAACAAAAATTAAACCCAACTTTTTTCAGAAATCGGCACTTCGATTCATGGATACCATGTCAATGGCAATACCGATGTTTGGGATGGCAGATCATCAAGTCGTTACATATGAAACGGACGATTCAGATTACATCTTAAGGGTTTGTTTTTAGTTTAATTATGAAAAAGACGCACGTATGTTTTGGTCTAGCGTGAATCTCCTATACCTCCAAGGTCTAGGGGTTGGTAGTCATGGCTGATGAGAATTGCTAATTGTTGAAACAGTTTCTCCAAAACATCTGCGTCTTGTTATATAGTTGCATGACGAAACAAAGAAGCTACCAGTAGTGAGCGCTTCACAGTGTACCAAACGTAAAGCAAGAAGTTAAGTACTGGTCAATACTATTTGGTAAGTGGCGTATTAGCTCAGCGAGATTAGAGGATGTCTAAGAAGTGTTTGTTAAAGCGACATTTCTCGTGACCGCCACCTTCCGTTTATTCTGCGTCTTCTCTCACCTGCAGATGAAAACCCATGGGCAGCTGACGGCAGCGGGTCGAGTAGAGTTTGGCCATGGTTTACTAGAAACACTGAAAATGTCTTATTCAAGCACACTTAC